TATTATTATTATTATTATTATTATTATTATTATTATTATTATTTTATTTCATGTTGTTAAATAATACATTTTACTGCTTTTGTCATTATCTGAGCTGTTTATTACTTCTAAATTATAAGTGTTTAATGATTACTTTATATTTTGACGCAAAACGGATATAAAATTAAATTTCTAGCAATCAGTGCAATATTATTTAAGTGAACTTTCATACGCGTGTTTTATTACCGAAATTATCATTCTTTATTTAATAAATAGTTACAGTAATTAGGTGTTTAGTTTTTGTTTAAAATTAAATACATTTCAAAAAATATTTGTTTATGAATTGAAAATAATGACTGAAAGAACAAATGAATGCTTAAAAGCAATTTATAAAAACATAACTTCAAGTTTAATTACTTTATTATACTGTACTTTATTATTTTTTGTTTTTTTTAAAGCTAAAAAATTCAAAGTTATATAATTCAGAGCTAATTGTTCAACAATCTAGTTTCTTAGTATATATACCAAGCTTCTTAGTCTAGCAAGAAAGCTAATTTTTAAGTACTACTTTTTTGAATCAGAAAGCTGTTTCCTTCTTTGCAATAATGGGTTGTAATGGCGATTCTGATATTCAAAATCATAAAATAAAAATATAAATTTAAAAAATTTTAATTAGTTTTTTGCAAATTTCAGATGAGGAAATTAGTATTTTTTGTATTTTTTATTTTGTGGCAAGTTATTTATGCATTATTTATTAACAGAATGTGTAGTTGACATATTTTCCAAATGTCATATTATAAAGCTTTTTAAGATATTCTTTTCGACATATTTTTACACAATCTTGTTTAAATATTCATTAATTAAAATGGATTATTGCAGAAAATTTGAATTTGAAATTAATTTTTTTCAGTTTGTAAAATTAAAAAAAGAGTAGCTTATAAAAGTTAATATTTATCAGATTAATTCTAGGTTACTTTTTAATCTTCGAAGTTTTTCTAATTAGAAAATAAATGAATATTTTTGCTATTGCATTTTGCACTACTACAAGGTCAAATTTTAACTAATTAAAAAAATTTTTTACTTAATTAAAGTTACTAAAACAAGTGAATTCTTGCCTATGACTTCTCTATGATTTTTGCATATTCTTAAAATATTATTATTTTTTTTAAATACAATTTTGCAAATATTTAATCAAAATAACTATAAATTTTTGCTTTTTATACTAACTTAAAACAAAATGAGCAAAACTGATATAACTTGAAATCGCTTATATATTATTAAATTGTAGTATATAATATGAGTTTTATTATTTACTAAATAAAAAATACTAATTTTAATATTTTGATCAAAAAAAAATCTATTAATTTTTTGGTCAAAATCATAATTACAGTAAGTAAATAATGATGCTGAATTTTTATTTTTTAGTGATAAAATTTATATAAACTAAAAATAATCTATGATTTTTGATAAAATAAAAATTTTCATGTTTTCAAATAGCATTTAATAAAAGTAAGTGTATAATGTGCTTGAATAGACTTATTTGCTTAATTAACGCTTTGATTAGCTTTCAACAATATCATTAAACTTTATAAATAATACTAAAGTCAGCACAATTTCATTATAACGAAACGATGATAATTACATACATTTGACCTTTTATTTTCTTATAAATTCATTTTACAAATTTTAATTTATTTTTAATTTTTATTCACAAATTTTATCAAAAATGATAATTTTTCTAATATTTCTGCAGTTATTTATGTTAATTATGTTTAATTATGTTAATTTTTTATTTTATGTTAATTATGTTTAAAAAACAATTTTTCGTTTTCAAATGTTTAATTAAAATAAAATATGATTCAATTTTCAAATTTTTATTGTTTTTTATTAAAATATCATCTTCAGGAGAAATTAGAATATCGTTTGAGCTTATTTTAAATAAGATTTTTAATTATGAATTTTTATTGTGGATAATAACGTTTTAAATTGTAAGCAATCATAATTTCGGTCAAAAGCTTAGCAAAAAATATAATCTTTTAATTTTGTAAATTGTGGCATAAATTCGGTTTAAAATTAACATCAAGATTAGTACTATTGAAAAAGATGAAAAATTACAAATTATAATTAATCAACTTATAACTTTGTAATTCTAAAAAGTTGCCTTTACTTTATTTATTATTAAACATAATAATTTTTAGTAAACTGATCTTATTTTTTACTTTTTTAATTTGATTTACAACTTTTTTTTTATTAATTTTTTTTGCTATAATTAAATAAAACTATAATTAGCAAGTTACAAATTAACTTCAGTATTTGAAAAAATACTAACGAATGATCGAGTAAAATAATATTACTAAACTGATGAATTACAATTTGCAGAAAACCAAATCAATCTAAAATTATATTCAAATTTGAATTTCTAACTTAAAATTAAATTGTAATCCAAAAAAGCTTAAAGTTTACTTCAAAAGTGTAATTTCAAAGTTTTAATAAGCATATTGCTTATTCTAACTTCAGTGCTGGCTTGATTTACTCAACAAGTAATCAAAAAATCTTACTGCTATTCTGCTAGTTTTGATTTCTGATAATTGTTGTTAATTTTTGGTGCTGAAAATTCTTTGTATTTTCTGTTACTTTGATTATTTTAAATTTAAAACAAAATTAAATTGAAATGGGAATATGTCAAAGTCAAGAAGAAAAAACAATGATGGCAAAAAGTAAAGCAATTGATCAAGAAATGATGCAAGGTCATGTTGCTCAACAAAAAGTTGTAAAATTATTACTTTTAGGTAAATTATTTTTTACTCAAATTCAAATTTTATTTATCCATCATTTGCATATTTTTATTTGATGTCAAAAAAAAAATGCCAAATTATTACTTCATAAATATTAAATATTTACTGATTTATGTAATTAATTAATTATAAATTGCGTTTTATCATTTATCATTTATATTTTCAATTTTGTGAAATTTTGTTTATATTTAAAATTTTTCAAGCTAAATTTGTCTACATGAAATTTAATTGGAATAAAAGTCCTTCCAGATTTTTATAATTTTTTTAAAAATTTCAAAAATTGTTAATTAATTTTTTGATGTTTACATATTTAAATTTACATAAAATCAAAAAAAACGAAAAAAATCGTAAACAAGCATTTTTTCAGGGGCTGGTGAATGTGGAAAAAGTACTGTACTTAAGCAAATGAGGTTAATTTAAACAATTATAAAATATCATTAAAACAAATAAATAAATTGCGTTAACAATTATTATTACTTTTAGGGACAACTGTCAAAGTTTGTTTGACCCAAATATGACCTTCCAAAAAATCATTCATAACTTTGAATGTAACTGTATTTAGACTATTACATACTCCTGGATTTACTGATGAAGAAATGATGCAACAAAAAACGATTATTTACAATAATATTGTACAAGCTATGGTATCCATACTTAAAGGCATGAAATCACTTAACATACCATTTGAGAATCCAGAAAGAGAAGTAAGCTTGAAGGATTAACTTTTTGCAAATAAATTAAATGAGATAAACTTTATTGTTAGAACAATTGCCGAGCATAATTAATAATTAAGTTTTATGATAATTATTGATACAAATTTTGCATAAAATATTGCTTGCATAACTCGGTCTAATTTTAGAAATAAAAATATTAAATTGCTCAAAAATAGGGCAGCTTGCAGAGAGAAGTCAATTTTTTACTACAATTACATTTCTAAAAAATTATATAAAATGTGTCATTAAGTTGAAAATTAAAGTTGCAAATAAAAATAAAAATAAATTAAAAACTGACTGACAATTTAAATTTGATATTCAGATTTCCAGTATGAAATATAAAGTGGATGCAAAATTATGTCATAAGAGATTTACTTATGATAAAATATTTTGATTTTAAATGCAAGTTCATAAAAAATTTTGCAGGCAGATGCATCTTTAGTGATGGATCTAGCAAAGGGAAGTAATGAACCAGAACCTTTGACCCCTGAACTTACTATTGCTATAAAAAATTTATGGGCTGATAAAGGAGTGTGCAAAGATGCATATGAACGTGGAAATGAATTTCAGATGGTGGAATCTTCGGCCTAGTAAATTTATACAATATTTGGAAAAAAAATGAAGAC